TAAAATAAAAACATTAATAATTTCTTTATAGACTTTCCATCATAATGAAGAAAATCAATGCACAATACAGGAATTGAGTCCATTGAGACATCAAGTGGTTTGTGCTGATGTGATGTGATGATGTGGCTCAGTTGGTAGAGCATGGCGCTTGCAATGCTAGGGCTGTGGGTTCGATTCCCATGGGGGACCAGTATGAAAACGTATGCACTCACTACCAGTGCTTGACTTGGGATGAAAGAAGTGCAGGAGCTGTGTTTTTCCAAGTCGGTCCATTAGACCATGGTTTCCTAAACTCGGTCCTGGGGCCCTCCATGGTTGCACTTTTTTTTTTTGCCCTAGCACTACACAGATGATTCAAATAACCAACTTATCATCAAGCTTTGATTATTTGAATCAACAAAACGTGCACCCAGTTGGGGCCCCAGCACCAAGTTTGGGAAACCCTGCATTAGACTATGTTCACCGAAATTCACAAATTACATTATGCTATAGAGACCTCTGATTATTCACTGTTAAGGGTTCATACACATTTTCCATGACTTCTCCATGACTTAACCACATTTTAATGACTATTATTAGAGCCTTCATGAAAAAGTAAACATTATTGACACTGGAAGACTGCTGTGTCTGATCTCATGTAGACCTACCATTTCCTACCGTTGTGACCTTGATCAAGGCACTTAACACCCCACAAAGTAGAACTGCACTGTTAGTCACATGTTGTCAACATGTGGTTAACCGTCCATCTGGAGAGCTCCTGGATGTGCAGGCTTGGTTTTTGATACAGCCCTGAAACACCCAAGTCTGCTTGCTTATCAAGGTCCTGTTGAGCAGCTGATGTTTAGGCGACAATGTGGTTACACCAGGGCTTGAACAAAAGCCTGCACACCCAGTAGCTATCCTGGAGGATGCAACATTACAACCAAATACTTGTGTCTTTGTAAAATTTGTCCCTCAATCAATGAATCAGGGATAAAATGTGACAATTAAAACCTACCCAAAACAAAAGCCGTGGATAGATGGCAGCATTTGCGTAAAACAGATAGCGCGAACCACCGCATTTAAACACGGCAAGGTGACTGGGAATGTGGTTGAATACAAACAGTGTAGTTATTCCCTCCATAAGGCAATTAAACAGGCAAAACGTCAGTACAGAGACAAAGTGGAGTCGCAATTCAATGGCTCAGACATGAGACGTATGTAGCAGGGTCTACAGACAATCACGGATTACAAAGGGAAAACCAGCCACCGACGTCTTGCTCCCGGACAAGCTAAACACCTTCTTTGCCCGCTTTGAGGATAACACAGTGGCAACGATGCGGCGCACTACCAAGGACTGTGGGCTGTAGTTCTCCGTGGCCAACGTGAGTAAGACGTTTAAGCGTGTTAACCCTCGCAAGGCTGCCGGCCCAGACGGCATCCCTAGCCGCGTCCTCAGAGCATGCGCAGACCAGCTGGCTGGAGTGTTTACGGACATATTCATCTCTCCCTATCCCAGTCTGCTGTCCCCACTTGCTTCAAGATGTCCAACATTGGTTCCTGTACCCAAGAAAGCAAAGGTAACTGAACTAAATTACTATCACCCCGTAGCGGTCACTTCTGTCATCATGAAGTGCTTTGAGAGGCTAGTTAAGGATCATATCACCTCCACCATACCTGACCCTAGACCCACTTCAATTTGCATACCGCCCCAATAGATCCACAGACGATGCAATCTCCATCGCACTGCACACTGGCCTATTCCATCTGGACGAGGAATACCTATGTAAGAATGATGTTCATTGACTATAGGTCAGCCATCAACAACATAGTACCCTCCAAACTCATCATTAAGCTCGGGGCCCTGGGTCTGAACCCCGCCCTGTGCAACTAGGTCCTGGACTTCCTGACGGGCTGCCCCCCAGGTGGTGAAGGTAGGAAACAACACCTCCACTACGCTGATCCTCAACACAGGAGCCCCACAAGGGTGCGTGCTCAGCCCCCTCCTGTACTCCCTATTCACCCATGACTTCGTGGCCAGGCATGCCTCCAACACAATTGTCAAGTTCGCAGACGACACAACAGTAGTAGGCCTGATTTCCAACAATGACGAGACAGCCTACAGGGAGGAGGTGAGGGCCGAGGCTTAGTGGTGCCAGGCTAATAACCTCTCCCTCAACGTCAACAAAACGAAGGAGCTGATTGTGGACTTCTGGAGACAGCAGATGGAGCACGCCCCCATCCACATCGACGGGACCACAGTAGAGAAGGTGAAAAGCCTCAAGTTCCTCGGCGTACACATCACTGACAATCTGAAATGGTCCACACACACAGACAGTGTGGTGAAGAAGTCACAAAAGCACCTCTTCAACCTCAGGAGGCGGAATAAATTTGGCTTGGCCCCTAAGACCCTCACAAACTTTTACAAATGCACAATTGAGAGCATCCTGTCGGGCAGCATCACCGCCTTGTATGGTAACTGCACCGCCCCCAATGCATCACCGGGTGCACACTGCCTGCCCTCCAGGACACCTACAGCAACCGACGTCAAAGGAAGGCCAAAAAGATCATCAAGGACATCAACCACCCAAGCCACGGTCTGTTCACCCTGCTATCATCCAGAAGGCGAGGTCAGTACAGGTGCATCAAAGCTGGGACCAAGAGACTATCTCAAGGCCATCAGACTGTTAAATAGCCATCACTAGCCGGCTACCACCCGGTTCCTCAACCCTGCACCTTAGAGGCTGCTGCCCTATGTACATAGACATGGAATCACTGGTCACTTTAATAATCAAACACTAGTCACTTTAATAATTTTACATACTGTTTTATCATTTCATATGTATATACTGTATTTTAATCAATACCACCCAGACATTGCTCATCCTAATATTTATATATTTCTTAATTCCATTCTTTTACTTTTAGATTTGTGTGTATTGTTGTGAATTGTTATATACTACTGCACTGTTGGGGCTAGGAACACAAGAATTTCGCTACACCCACAATAACATCTGCTACATATGTGTATATGACCAATAACATTTGATTTGATTTGATTTTAAATGGATGAGGTAGGCTACTTCAAAGCAAGGTATCTAACTAAACACGCTTATATATAAGGCTCAAATATTCATTTTGTTACGTTGTCGCAATTACATGGCTACTGTTTAATAAAGGGGACTCCCAGCTTTCCAATGGAGCAGATTTATTTGGACTATCTACAGTGCCGATGGAAAGGCAACAACAAACATTAATGCTAAGTTAGCTATAGTTAACTAGCGAGATAACTGCTACCAGTTATGTTTTGAATTGGCTATCTAGTTAGTCTGTCTGTCATTATTTTATACCTGCTGCTGAAATGTCGCGCTCTCTCGCTCCTCGGGCAACGGCCCACTCGCACTGGCACACACGCAGAACACACAGACACGCACTTAAAGGTCATTCCGATAATGGCAGATATATAGATTTTTAAGTGATTGATAGTATTAAAAGTGTGCCTTCATGAATTACATTAACAATAATTATGCAACTAATTTCCATTACTTTTCATGAACTTACAAACCCTCATTTTACAATTTGGAACAGCGCATCATGCACATTCAGGCTGAAAGATTTTCAGTCTGCACAATCTCGAACAGCCTACTGTCACGCACAGATTCGCAGACTAGCTCAAATAAACTTGAACAAAGCAGAATCAGGAAATTAATGCCCAATCTCCATTGCTAATCAATGCAGATCCCGCCTTCAATCTGCTTTGATAAACCTTTTTTGCCTATGTGTGAATCTGGGCCAGCCATAGTTTACTTTGTTTTATGGAGGAGCAGGTATGCAATTCCCAAAAAATTAGAAGTGCCAGTTTGGCGCTCCTGACAGCTCTGGCCCAAGTCAAGCACTGCTCACTACTATAATTTGCTCTGGATAAGAGTGTCTAATAAAATGTCAAAAGAATGAATAGACCATCTCAGTTTTCACATAGAAATAAGTTGCATTTCCAAAGTATTTCAAGAAACGGGAAAGCAAGTATTTTTATATTCCACAAATATTATCAGATGAACTGTTTTGTACAGATAATTATCAGACTCAAGTTACAAATGCTGGTAAACACTCAAATACAAATACATTTAGTAAAAATAAAAATAAAAAATAAAAATATTGTGCACTGGGCCTTTACTAGTCCTGTGTTAGGGCCTGCTATAGACGTCTCTAGCTCGGGCAAAAAAAAAAATATTCTCAGCACCCTCACCCCAAACGGCTATGTTTAGATACACACGATATCAACACCATACCACTCCTGGTTACTTTGACTGCATCCACTTTTCCCAACGCCTTCTTCACCATTCTCGTGATTTCAAAAGAGTTTCCCAAATTAACATCCTTATCCAAAAAAAGTACTCCACCAGAGTCATTTTCCACAACAATTTTAGCCCTTTTTGTTCCATTCTTGGACTTCAATATTGTCCACTTATCTTTCTCACTAACTGTGCTCGATGCACTTTCAGCTTCAAACAACACTTCTGCTTCATCATCCCAATTTCTTCCCCCTTCGTTCATCCCCAGTAACTTCCAAGGAAAAATTCACACCTGGCCTGCCCTTTTATGGCAGTATGCCCATATGTGGTACTAAGTCGCACCGAAGATTGTATGGTACGTCTGGAAAGCCAAGATCCCCACCTTTCAGGAGACACCCTATATTCACGGATAGGGGCTACCGTTCTCATTTTAGACGACTTTTAATAAAAAATGGATATCAAAGTCCCCTATTTAGGGGACCCTACATTTATTAATATACCTAGAATAGTTTCAGGCAAAGTTTTCCCCAGTTGAGTTTCTGTTGCGTTGTTATCCTGTGTGGATCACAGGGCTAAACAGAGCGCCTCTATGCAGCTCTATTCGCGCCACTCCACTTGGCGCAGGCGCGCTGGCTCCTCTGTGCACCGTACTGTGTGTTTGCGTTGTGTATGAAGTCTGAACTGCCAGCGAGCTTTACTAAAATACATTCTAGACTTCCTACCGCGGCAATGTCGGGCAGGTCCGTCCGAGCCGAGACCCGGAGCAGGGCGAAAGATGACATCAAGCGGGTTATGGCTGCTATTGAGAAAGTACGGAAATGGTAAAAGAGGGGGGAAAAAACAAGTTTGTTACCTAACATGAGAAAAGCCTTGTCTGTTGGGAAGAAAAGAGAGAGATAGAATGAGCGAAAACGAATGAGCATGCAATTGAAAGACGGATGATATCTAAAGGGAATTTAGGAAAAATTATCCACTCAGATGCGGCAGGCGCACTCGTGGTATGCACGACCATGTATATCGAGTAGCCTACAAACCGAGATCCCTATGATTTTAGAGAATTTTCCATCAAGGTTTAATGTGGGTTGAACCCAGAAGCCATTTCGTTGCATTCACATGAAGCCATTCCTTTCTCCTGGCAGCTGTAGTGGCGGAGAGGGAGAGACCCGACTGTTTCAGAACACTGGCAAATCATTCAATAATACACTTCAGGACTATACGACTAGTAAGCTCTGGAGTCGCAGTAGTTTTTAGACCATCTGGAGTTTGAAATGATGGCGCTTTGGGTCGCCCTTTAAGTTGAATAGATGTTGCGCGGCTGGGAGAGAGAAGGAGTAGGGGTCGTGCATTGCTGAACACGCAGTCAGTCTCATTGTTTTTCAAAGCTTAGAAATACAACTGGATTTTTATTTTATTATTTCTAAATTATTTTTATGAACTTTATATCAAGGCAACCTTTTATTTTCACCAGTGGATTTGTTTGATTCGTTTACTTGATGAATTAAAATTGAGATTCTTCACCCCCATGTCCCCATGAAATAATTCTGCTAAAACAATTGAAAACTTAATGTTAAAATACCCGTTGAATCAAAGTTATTTAGATGTTCAATTGTAATAGGCCCACATTTGTATTGAATCTGTCTGCTATTGCAAAAATGCATGTACTGTTTTATTATTATAATGTAAAAAGTCCTCATTGGTTTCAACCAGGAGTGATATGAACTATGTTATTCTATAAAAAAAAGTATGTGACTGTCTCCATGTTGTTGTTTATGTCTGACTGACCTTAGTCTGTATTGTGTTTTGTGTGATGCCCTGGTAGAGTTGCTATCACTAAAGGAACATTGAATGGGAATCGAAGTGAACCCTTTAATTATTTCTAAGCCTGTGTGTGTGTGTGTGTGTGTGTGTGTGTGTGTGTGTGTGTCTACCAGGGAGAAGAAATGGGTGACAGTTGGAGACACATCCCTGAGGATCTTCAAGTGGGTTCCAGTGACTGAGCCCAAAACAGCAGATGACGTACATAAGACACACCACAGCCTCATTCAAGTTCATTGTCTAGTTATTTTACAGAATACTCTCAGCATCTCAAACTCATGTCACGTCATTGTGTTGTATGTAAACAGTATTTCTGCCCCTGTCTGTTGTCTTGCAGAAGAAGAAGAAGAAGAAGAAGAAGGGGAAGGATGAGAAGTATGGGTCAGAATTGACCACACCAGAGAACAGCTCTTCTCCTGGGATGATGGACATGCATGGTGGGTAAAGCTCAATTCAGAGTCCATAGCCGCGGAACTCTGACGAACGGTCCATTATTACATATTTACAAACCTTATTTCATTGGCTGTTATCTAGTCGCGGCCATATCTCACAGTAAATCACACGGCTCCGGCTCCGCAGCTTTAAATTCTGTAGGACGCTTAACGTCCAGTGTGTGGGTCAGTGTGTATGCCTGTGGACCCAGAATGGAGTTAAAGGTTAAACAAATGTAAAACCTTTCTCTGTCTTATTCCCTCTCTCCTTCTCCCTCTCAGACGACAACAGTAACCAGAGTTCTATCGCTGATTCCTCCCCCGTCAAACAGGAAACCAGCAGCAGCACTAGCCCTGCCCCCGAACCAACCGCTGTATCCCACGGCGACAGCAGTGAGGCCAAGAGCGACCAGAGCCCTGACTGCAAGAGGGGTAAGACACACACCACCACCACCACCACGGGGAATCACGCTCAAATGCCCAGCCTGAAATCCCCTCCTGTTGTGGCCCATCCAAACACTTTTAATAGAACTGGATGGGTGAACCCTGTGGTAGGGTTTAGTGTATCTTCAATTGCTGTTTGGTTAGCTGGAGAGCTCCAGTCGTTAGGCCTGAAGTCACAGGGCTGTACTCAGAGGCTCATCACAGTGGGAGACTGTGGGAGAGAGAGAGAAGGAGAGAGAGTTATCTTTTCTACCCCGCTGAGAGAGAGAGGGAGTGCAGCTGTGACCAGACCCTCGGGGGTTCAACTGCCAACCCTCCATCTGCACCCCTACTAACAAGTCCTCTCTCAGCCTGGTACAAAATAGAACTCTCTCTTTATCCCCCCTCTTTCACTATTTTTCTTTCCCCTATCCTATTTGGTGTATGAGACAAAATACGGTTGACTTCTCAACAAATTATCAAACACGGACCTTTTCTCTACTCTCTCTCTCTATCTCTCTCTCTCTCTCTCTCTCATCCGTCTCTCTCTCTTCTCTCTCTCTCTCTCTCTCTCTCTCTCTCTCTCTCTCTCTCTCTCTCTCTCTCTCTCTTTCTCGCTCTCTCTCTCTCGTTCTCTCTCTCTACCCCTCTGTCTTTCTCTCTCTTTCTCGCTCTCTACCCCCTCTTTAAATTCCATTTTTTATTTTTTATTTAAGGTCTTTATTGGTATGGGAAACGTATGTTAACATTGCCAAAGCAAGTGAAGTAGATAGTAAACAAAAGTGAAATAAACAATAAATATGAACAGTAAACATTACACTCAGAAGTTCCAAAAGAATAAAGACATTTCAAATGTCATATTATGTATATATACGGTGTTGTAACAATGTGCAAATAGTTAAAGTACAAATGGGAAAATAAATAAACATAAATATGGGTTGTATTTACAATGGTGTTTGTTCTTCACTGGTTGCCCTTTTCTTGTAGATAAGGGAGTTTATCAAAATTGGGTTTGTTTTCAAATTCTTTGTGGTTCTCTGTAATCTGAGGGAAATATGTGTCTCTAATATGGTCATACATTTGGCAGGAGGTTAGGAAGTGCAGCTCAGTTTCCACCTCATTTTGTGGGCAGTGTGCACATAGCCTGTCTTCTCTTGAGAGCCAGGTCTGCCTACGGCGGCCTTTCTCAATAGCAAGGCTATGCTCACTGAGTCTGTACATAGTCAAAGCTTTCCTTAAGTTTGGGTCAGTCACAGTGGTCAGGTATTCTGCCACTGTGTACTCTCGGTTTAGGGCCAAATAGCATTCTAGTTTGCTCTGTTTTTTTGTTAATTTCTTCCAATGTGTCAAGTAATTCTCTTTTTGTTTTCTCATGATTTGGTTGGGTCTAATTGTGTTATTGTTGTTGTTGTCCTGGGGCTCTGTGGGGTCTGTTTGTGTTTGTGAACAGAGCCTCAGGACCAGCTAACTTAGGGGACTCTTCTCCAAGTTCATCTCTCTGTAGGTGATGGCTTTGTTATGGAAGGTTTGGGAATCGCTTCCTTTTAAGTGGTTATAGAATTTAACGGCTCTTTTCTGGATTTTGATAATTAGTGGGTATCGGCCTAATTCTGCTCTGCATGCATTATTTGGTGTTTTTCGTTGTACACTGAGGATATTTTTGCAGAATTCTGCATGCAGAGTCTCAATTTGGTGTTTGTCCCATTTTGTGAATTCTTGTTGGTGAGCGGACCCCAGACCTCACAAACATAAAGGGCAATGGGTTCTATAACTGATTCAAGTATTTTTAGCCAGATCCTAATTGGTATGTCGAATTTTATGTTCCTTTTGATGGCATAGAAGGCCTTTCTTGCCTTGTCTCTCAGATCGTTCACAGCTTTGTAGAAGTTACCTGTGGCGCTGATGTTTAGGCTGAGGTATGTATAGTTTTTTGTGTGCTCTAGGGCAACGGTGTCTAGATGGAATTTGTATTTGTGGTCCTGGCAACTGGACCTTTTTTGGAACACCATTATTTTTGTCTTACTGAGGTTTACTGTCAGGGCCCAGGTCTGACAGAATCTGTGCAGAAGATCTAGGTGCTGCTGTAGGCCCTCCTTGGTTGGTGACAGAAGCACCAGATCATCAGCAAACAGTAGACATTTGACTTCAGATTCTAGTAGGGTGAGGCCGGGTGCTGCAGACTGTTCTAGTGCCCTCGCCAATTCGTTGATATATATGTTGAAGAGGGTGGGGCTTAAACTGCATCCCTGTCTCACCCCACGGCCCTGTGGAAAGAAAAATTTGTTTTTTTTTGCCAATTTTAACCGCACACTTGTTGTTCGTGTACATGGATTTTATAATGTCGTATGTTTTTCCCCCAACCCCACTTTCCATCAATTTGTATAGCAGACCCTCATGCCAAATTGAGTCAAAAGCTTTTTTGAAATCAACAAAGCATGAGAAGACTTTGCCTTTGTTTTGGTTTGTTTGTTTGTCAATTAGGGTGTGTAGGGTGAATACGTGGTCTGTCGTACGGTAATTTGGTAAAAAGCCAATTTGACATTTGCTCAGTACATTGTTTTCATTGAGGAAATGAACTAGTCTGCTGTTAATGATAATGTAGAGGATTTTCCCAAGGTTGCTGTTGACGCATATCCCACGGTAGTTATTGGGGTCAAATTTGTCTCCACTTTTGTGGATTGGGGTGATCAGTCCTTGGTTCCAAATATTGGGGAATATGCCAGAGCTAAGGATGATGTTAAAGAGTTTAAGTATAGCCAATTGGAATTTGTGGTCTGTATATTTTATAATTTCATTGAGGATACCATCAACACCACAGGCCTTTTTGGGTTGGAGGGTTTGTATTTTGTCCTGTAGTTCATTCAATGTAATTGGAGAATCCAGTGGGTTCTGGTAGTCTTTAATAGTTGATTTTAAGATTTGCATTTGATCATGTATATTTTTTTGCTGTTTGTTCTTTGTTATAGCGCCAAAAAGATTGAAGTGGTTTACCCATACATCTCCGTTTTGGATAGATAGCTCTTCGTGTTGTTGTTTGTTTAGTGTTTTCCAATTTTCCCAGAAGTGGTTAGAGTCTATGGATTCTTCAATGACATTGAGCTGATTTCTGACATGCTGTTCCTTCTTTTTCCGTAGTGTATTTCTGTATTGTTTTAGTGATTCACCATAGTGAAGACGTAGGCTCAGGTTTTCTGGGTCTCTATGTTTTTGGTTGGAAAGGTTTCTCAATTTCTTTCTTAGGTTTTTGCATTCTTCATCAAACCATTTGTCACTGTTGTTACTTTTCTTCGGTTTTCTGTTAGAGATTTTTAGATTTGATAGGGAAGCTGAGAGGTCAAATATACTGTTTAGGTTTTCTACTGCCAAGTTTACACCTACACTATTACAGTGGAACGTTTTGTCCAGGAAGTTGTCTAAAAGGGATTTAATTTGTTGTTGCCTAATTGTTTTTTAGTAGGTTTCGACACTACTTTCCTTCCATCTATAGCATTTCTTAATATTATTCAGTTCCTTTGGCTTTGATGCCTCATGATTGAGTATTGCTCTGTTCAAGTAGACTGTGATTTTGCTGTGGTCTGATAGGGGTGTCAGTGGGCTGACTGTGAACGCTCTGAGAGACTCTGGGTTGAGGTCAGTGATAAAGTAGTCTACAGTATTACTGCCAAGAGATGAGCTATAGGTGTACCTACCATAGGAGTCCCCTTGAAGCCTACATTGACTATGTACATACCCAGCGTGCGACAGAGCTGCAGGAGTTGTGACCAGTTTCTGTTGGTTATGTTGTCGTAGTTGTGCCTAGGGGGGCATATGGGGGAGGGAATGCTGTCACCTCCAGGTAGGTGTTTGTCCCCCTGTGTGCTGAGGGTGTCAGGTTCTTGTCCAGTTCTGGCATTTAGGTCGCCACAGACTAGTACATGTCCCTGGGTCTGGAAATGATTGATTTCCCCCTCCAGGATGGAGAAGCAGTCTTCATTAAAGTATGGGGCTTCTAGTGGGGGGATATAGGTAGCACACAGGAGGACATTTTTCTCTGTTGAGATAATTTCCTTTTGAATTTCTAGCCAAATGTAAAATGTTCCTGTTTTGATTAATTTAATAGAGTGAGTTAGGTATGCTCTATACCAAATTAGCATACCCCCTGAGTCCCTTCCCTGTTTCACACCTGGTAGTTCGGTGGATGGGACTACCAGCTCTCTGTAACCTAGAGGGCAACCAGTGGGTCCATCTCCTCTATACCATGTTACTTGTAGGATGACAATGTCTGTATTTCCGATTTCTTTGGTGAAGTCCAGGTTCCTGCTCTTTAGGCCAAAGGCAGATGACCTCAGGCCTTGGATATTCCAGGATTAAATAGTGAAGGCTTTGTGTTCCATAAAGTGTCTAATGTTGCTGGTCGTGTGGTTTGGCCTCTCTCTCTAACAATCTCTATAAGGGACGGCGAGAATGTACAAGAGGGGGCGGAGAGATAGCAGAGAGCGTAGAGAGAGAGAGAGAGTAGAGAGAGAGAGAGAGAGAGAGACAAGCTAATAGAATTCTCGATCCGCCTATCTCCTGCTCTCTCTCTCTCTCTCTCTCTCTCTCTCTCTCTCTCTCTCTCTATCTCTCTCTTCTCTACTCTCTCTCTCTCTCTCTCTCTCACCCGACGTCTCTCTCTCACAGCTCTCTCTCTCTACGCCCCCTCTCTCTCTACGCCCCCTCTCTCTCTACGCCCCCTCTCTCTCTACGCCCCCTCTCTCTCTACGCCCCCTCTCTCTCTCTCTCTCTCTCTCTCTCTCTCTCTTTCTCTCTACCCCTCTTTCTCTCTATATATTTATTACTCTCTCCCAGTCATGCATTTTTATCTGAGCACAAGTCATTACTCCATATCACCACACAGAAGCATTAATCCTTTCCAGTTACCCTTGACTTGAGTTGATTACAAGTAGCAAATAAAAGTGAACACATGAATACTCAACAGTAGGTATTGTTACAGAAATAATGTATGATTTATCTGGCCTTTACTGGTTCTAACAGCAGACCTATAAGCTTGCTGCCAGCTCTTAGCAAACTACCCCTTACAAATACAATGCTATTTGTAAGGGCACTCAACATGTACTGCACTGACACAAATGACTGATGATTTGTTGAA